AGCTCTGACCCTGTTTCTTGCTGATCTTTCCCCAACAAAATTCCTAAATGCTTAAATTAGGATGACGCAATTCAACACCAAGGCCTAGTCATTCCAACATGTGTCACTCCTTGGCTCTTCCCCTACCCCTACTATGATGCCCTACTCACCAGTGCTAGTTGTATGCAGGGATGTGTGTCTTTCACATTTCCATTCACCTCTGCCATTACCAGTACAGATGCACTGAAGCAAATTTCCACGGTTATCCTTCTTGCTCCAGGTGTCTCCAATTCTGTAGGAAGTCTTGGTGTCATGGTCATTGCACCTGTCTGTGTAAGGAACATGGCTATTAGCTATTTCCGCACAGGATGGCTTGAGCATGCAATTTATAGTATTGAACCACCAATGCTATGAAATGAGCTGATAGTTTAAAGCCGTTCTTGAGAGCCTTCCTAATTTTCTGTAGCCCACTATTAGAAGTCCTATATGCACTAATGTCTGCATTAAGCTGCACAGGCCAGGAAAGAGTCTGAAAATCTTGATGCTAAACAAAGTTTACGGGAAAATTCCCACCGATTTCCAGAACAGGAATTTCACGTTCTAGCCATGGTCTCAAATAACACCCTAGTACTACCAGTTCCAAGAAGGTAAGCTATGTTCAAAAAAACCAAAAAAACCCCCCAAAAACACTGCTAAAAAGCACTTCCTGGATTAAAAACATTGTTGCTAGTTATTTTTAAAAGCCATTTTAAACCTATTCTGTCTAGCATACACCTTCAATACTTTGTTTTAATGCCTTTTTTCCTCCCTTCTATTTTTGAGAAGTTGTCTTTGTGGCTGGGTCATTTCATACTATATACAGGGCACAGTTCAACTTCAGAGCTCTACCGCAGACGGAAGAAGCTAAAACTTATTGGAGGGCAATAGGTTAAATTCCAGTTCTTCCAAAAAGCGTGCATGAAGTGGCCAGTACAGTTAATAGACACAAGTAAGTCAGACCAGGGATATTAGACTTTCTGAGTCTCCCGGTTGTCTTTAATAACCCGCACCCCTTACAAATCGAGTAAATGGGTTCAAAGGACAGCATAACAAACTACCTTTGTCTAAATGCCAGAGCCACATGGATTAACTCGTTCTTCTTCCATTACAGCATTTTACCTTCTCATCCAAGGGCAACTTGATACAGTGGCTCAAATATAATCATGGATCAATGAACATGGATTTATGAAGAATTGTAGAAGAACATGGGCATCACTTCAGATTGCCATTGAAACAGCACACAGGACAGAATACGAATGTGGAAAATACATTAGTGATTCACAGTGGTTAAAACGACCAAACCCCTGAGTATTTGCCAGAAGACTGGCAAACTGGTGAAGTGTTAATAATGTAATTTGGCATATGTGTGTGGGGTGCGGGAGGAGCAAAAACCTGTCTTATGAACACTCAGGGTCTAAAGTTAAGTGATGAAAGGCTGGCACGCCGCCGCCCCCCAAGCCAGAAATGAAAAAACAGTAGTCACTCTGGAAAACGTTGGCCATAAGAGATATATGATAGCAACAACACATACTGAAGCATAATGCCACTTTGTGGGCTACAGCTATCATTTTACATGGAGAGATTCAAATTTTTGTCTTTTACATTTGAAAAAGAAAACGAGCAGGCCATCATACTACAATTTCCCCTGCGGTACAACAATGCAGAGCTGAGTTATGGGAGAAAAAGATACTGCCAAATCATTTTTATTAGTAATAATATCTCCTCCAAAGTTCACAAACAGCACGTTCTGTTTTATCCATTCCTATTTGACAGTTAATGATTTTTCCCCATGTGCTGCTAATGGAGTTAATACTGTCAAGGCTGGTTTGATTTTTATAGCTTTTTCTTGACCAAGTCTCCCTAGATTTTCAGTTTTAATCCCGATCCTCCTTCGTGTTTTAGTTCTTTACAGTTCTGCTGTTTATGTCAGCAGAAAGCCATTATCCCTTTGTCCCCAGGCAACTGAAGATGAGGCAATTTAAAGGCTACAGAGGAGTTTCTCAAAACTTGCATAACAAAGGTGTAAAGGTACAAAGTTAAATTTTGAGGCAGCCAGTGTAAACTGTGATAGCTCTGCAACAGAGCTTGCTCTTACCAAAATCTGAATAGGAGGTAGATAAACAAACGGGATTTCAGATTTTAGAAGCCCAGTCTGCTTGGCAAACACTAATACAATGGGTATTTACGTTAACGGAGTTCAAAGACACAGAAACCTAGGGAAGTCATTTGAACTGCTGAAGCCTATTTACACTGAAGACTTAAAATGGTGGGAAAAACTAACAAGGCAGGTGAGACAGTAGATAAAAATAAACCCTGTTTGAGCTAGCACATATATTGAACTGTAAAAAAAAAGAGCGGGGGGGGGGAAACCTTAAGATGACATTCTTAATTTGGCAGGCTCCACTGCTGGACCAGGTGTCTCTAAAAGCTCCATATTCTCCCTCAAGAGGTTATTTAAACAACCCCAAAAAGGGGGATATCGGGCCAAACTCTGTGCCAGTTTGCAGACTAAGCAATTCCACCGGCTTCCTGGGGGATGCTTGACTGTGACTCACTCGGCCTGGCCCTTTCCCAAGCGCTTTTTCTCTGAAGCAGATGAAAACCAAACTAACACAACCAAAACACCCCAACCGCTTGGTCGTGAGCGCAGCGCGCCAACCCTTAGCTGTCCCCGCAACGGCCGCTTGGGAGGGTTTGCTTCTGACCTCGGAGGGGACTGTTTCCCACCCCTTTGGGTGAGACCTTCACCTGGCCGTGCCTCTAAGACTGCTGTGGACTGCTATACAGGGCGGAAAGAGGAGCAGCTTTTGGTTTTGGCACAGAACTTCTTGCTACATGAAATGGGGAGAAATAAAAAAGGATCAGGCTTTAAAGCGCCCTCTTTCCGCTTTGTCTTACTTCAGCGTCCGAGCTTGCGCGTGGCGGCCAAGAAAGACAGGGGAGTGGGGAGAAAGGGCACTTTTTTCTTTTTTTAAGGCTGAACTGGGCAAGAGGGAAATAAATAAATAAATAAAGTAAAGACAGGGCCGCCGACGGGCACTTACTTCTGGAGGTGCAGGTGATGCGGCCGCTGCCCTCGCCCAGGCAGGTGCAGTCCACCATCATCCAACCCTGGTAGGGCTTCTCCCAGGTCTCGCCCACCACGTAGGACGTGCCGGCCGCGTTGTCGTAGCAGCGCTCGGCTGCGGGAAGCAAGGTCGGGTTAACCGCGGGGCCACGCCGGCCGAGGACCGCAGTGGCAGCGGAGGAGGAGGAGGAGGAGGAAGAGAGATGCCACCTACCTACGGGCTTACAGGTCCACTCGCCCTTGCCGTTGCCCAGGCAGACGCCCTCCAGC